TGTTTTGATAAAAAAAAAGTGCGAAAAATTTCATCTCTGCCGAGGGGGCAACAAAACCACAAATTTACCTTGCATACGGGGGGTATTCATTGGATGAAAGGGACCGTGAAAAAGGACACTAAAATAGAAAGTTTTTCTTCCTTCTTTGTTTCATATTAGTATTCTTCTTTGGTTTTAGCAAGGTACTAAAATCGTCAATACCTTATCGACTAGCTTTCAAGCATTTTTAACTTCTAAATCCTAAAATTCACAGCATGATGGTAGTTTACCACCTTGGTTTCCTCGAGAAAAGAGGTGATTTTTCTGCAGATGGAAAAGCTCATCCTGCCCTACGTTCAAAGATTATTTTTGCTGACTGTTTCAGGCGGCTGGTTCGGAATCACACCGACAGTTCGCTCCCCTGGGGGACGGGACTGAATCTTCTTCGCACAAACCATAGAGTTAACTCTAAGACTAGAAGGTCCCGAAATAACGTGCTCAACTTTAAACCGTACACCCAACCGGTGGATGTAAGATTCGCTTACAATTATGTGGGATTCATCATCAGAGGATGTAAGTGGAGACCGCATGAACCGAGGATGCAATATACCTAGCTGCGGTCCAATGCAAGAAAATTGGAGACCGAAAAATGTGGAGTGTATTAGTGAGTGAAAGGAATTATGCCGAAAAAAAATTGGAAAAAGGTTGCCGACTGGGACTCGAACCACGAACGCTGTGATTATCAGACCTGTGCTTTCTCTCCTGCTCTCTCCATGCTTCTGAATATGGATAGCCTAAAAGCAAACAAGAAGCGCTTATTTCCTCTCACACTTGACTTCGTATGCTTTTTTCTGCTGGAGAGATTCGAGGCAAGTGTGTGCGTCGTTCTGCCATGTTATACATAAAAATCAAGACAAATGCTTGCTTGTGTAGATGAAAGCACAGACAGAACACGAAATAAAAAAGGCAAAAAAACATTACATCGCCTGCAAGATCAACTTCTAACATTCGCTGCGATGTTCATGAACAGAGGATGATAGGAAATGGAACTAACATTCATTGTAATAAATTTTTAGTTTGCGTGTAGGAACTCTTGTTTGAAAAGGTTCTTGAAAGGATACTGGTTTTCTATTTAACTACGAAACGGAGAATCAAACACACCGATAATTAATCAGCTAACAGATTTTATGGAACTTGAATCAACAGTGGTTGTTAGCTCCTAGGATACTAACCATTTTTGTTGAAGTCTTCCTCATGGCTTACTAGTTTCCAACATTGACATTAGCACGACACAGCATACTTGTTCGACTTTCTTGCATGCAAGTTGATTCTATAAAAGGTTATCCTCGAGATTACTAGTAGGCGAAATGGCTCTAATGTTGGCTTGTGGATCTAAGATTGGGCCCATCGCTAAAAATCTGCTAATGGATATTTTTGGTCGCTATTGAAAATTCAGTCGATTGCTGAAGTTATGTATGGGCCCAAATTAGGGGCATATAGGCCGACATTACATCCATTTCCCCTAACTACCCTAATTTGTCCAATTTGAATAGGTCCCGAAAAATGAAACACCGTATTGGCAAATCAAAGTTGGCACTCGTGGAGAATAGAAGAATTATAACAGTGATGATGGTTTCAAAATTTTCCACGGGGAAGTATACGAATGCAATCTTAAAATGCTTTTATTTTGCAAATGGAACATTTTATTTAAATCTGGTTGCTGCTACAGTGGTAGAAAAGCTCAAATCTATGTGTACACCTAAAAATCTGAAAAGAAATTAATTTTTCTGTATTATTTGTCTATTGAGTAGTCCTTAAGTTTTCTACTAACATAGCATCAACCAGATTTAAATAAAATGCTCCATTTGCAAAATAAAAGTATTTTAAGATTGCACTCGTATACCTCACCGTGTAAAATTTTGAAACCATCATCACTCTCATAGTTCTTCTATTCTCCACGAGTGGCAACTTTGATTTGCCAATTGAAATGCCTTCCAAATGTGTGCATAAACAAAATTCACAGAAATTCAAATGTTTTCAAAAGTCTTCATATCTGGCATCCCTGGTAACGAGTTATACATAGTCGGTTGTTTTTGGAATGGAGTACCTCGCAACGAAGTGGATGGTGGCAGAAAGGGGAGGGTAGAATGAAGTAGCGCACCACAAGAAGTAATTTTTCTGCTGCACACGTGTTCTCTGAAGTTGCCTCCAGCAGCGAGGCTAGATCGATGGTGGCGATTTGTGAAACTGCAGCTTGATGTAATGTATCTAAGGCGGTGTCCATTAATAACGTAACACATATTTGGGGCCTCCCTTAGCTCAGTCGGTAAAGGCGCAGCTACCGGTCCGGTCTTGGAAATTTTTTGGGTTGGAAAAAGCTCTTGATTTACCTGGGTATGTCTGTACTTGCCCCACAATTATACTAAAGAGCCTGAATTTATAAAGAGACGACATGTCAAAATTGGAATAATCGATTGTCTGTCAAAGTCATAGGAAAAGTCATTCCAATCGAGCAGAAGACCTGTCAAATAGATAAGATGTCGCCTCTTTATAAATTCAGGCTCTTTAAATTATACTAATGCAGAAATGGTACATGTATCGAAAGCTCTCAATTAATAGCTGTGGAAGTGCATCCAGAACACTAAGTATAGAGCACGCAATAAGCTAATATGCGATATGAAATAAGCCTGAAATGCGAAAAAGAAGAAGAAGAATATATAGGAGGGGGACCTCATCTCTTTCGTTACGAACTATTAGGGGAGGAGTAAATACAGGTCAAAAATGTCATCACTTAAATTTGCGTGCAAAATGGATGCTATTTAATTTTCTATCTTGAATTTCTTTGTTTTTGCCTAACTCGATGGTACACTTATCTTTTGTTTTAATTTTGAATATGTAAATTACCTTGAAATAAAAAAGTTATAACCAAATCGAACCAATGGGTGGGAGGGACTTTATGAGCGTTATGTAATAAATAGAGGAGGGTTACTTACAGCGTTATGTTTTATTACAAAGCGGGGGGAGGGGGTCTAAACTTTCGATTTTTATGGTTACATAATTAATGGACGCCGCCTAATGATGTGAACTTGAGTGGAACGTCCTCAAATTTGAGCATTTGAGGGATAAAATTTACACACATTCAGGGGCTGTCCAAATACCACGTAGACGGTTTATTGGGGGAAAGGGGTTGGCACGGTCATTATAAATTTTCATCAAAATTGAGTGAGGCCTACAAACCTTCCAAAAGCTATACGCGTGGTTTGTGGACAGCCCCACGTCCAGTAAGTACCAGTAGATCTAAAAGCTAAAAGCTAACGCCTGTCATATAGGCAACCAGTGTCGCAAAGAGAACTTCAGTAGTAGAGTTTTGAGCCGTCTACTCCTCACTGCTTCGTTGCATTATGGTCCACATTTAATGGATTACCAACATGGTTGATTTTTGCAACAGGGTTGCTTCCACTCACTTGCTATAAATAATTGTTTTTTGGGGAAAAAAATCTGAGCCCAGGGGAATAAAATAATATGTGGTGAGAGCTTAATCCGACTTGAGAGATCTAGCATCATGGTCACGGCTAATGGTGCTCTTGCCAGGTATTTTAGCGAAATTTTCGTGTTGTATGTGCCACACACGAACTTTACATCCTTCTCTTGCATCTTACAAATACAAATTATCATGATAATATCTCATTGTTTTTATTTATTTTTTTATAGTATTTGAGCTGAAATAAGCATTTGCAAGCATGGTTGAAATTATTTATATTAGGGTTGATACATATATCAAGAGCAAATTTTCATTATGTCGTAAGTAACATTCGCACCAATCCGAAAAAAATAAAGTTTTGTTTTGATGACCGAAAAGTTATTCCTATTTCCAAGTAAACACATATAATCTCATAGTGATGGCAATGTTTAACATATTTAGCAGGGTTTTAATCATACAAATGCAAATCGCTAGCTTTCATGCTAAAAAATAATGGTTTTTGAGTCAAAAGTTATTATACGTCGTTTGGTCACCCCTATTGTTACTTAAGTCAAAGTGTATTTACCAGGATATTCGGGAGAATTATCAATTACGTCTCCTTACGTGCAGCCTATTCATCAGTTTAGGACCACCGAAATCATCTTAGCCACAAACAGTTCGATTTATTCACTTTAATAATGAGAAAGCGAAACGACGAACGTACACTTTTCACGGGTTTCTCAGCGCTGTTACTTAAGTCAAACGGCATCTCCATAGAAATTGGGTGACTTAAGTAACATCGAAAACTATTTTGATCGGAAGGTGATTACGTCAAAAAGCAATTTGACTGGCAAATAAATTTAAAAATGGGATTTGATCCTATATTCGCACAGCATATAGTGTAATAGCAGGAGAATCGATTGACACTGATAGCTCGACTTTTTTTACCTTTGTTACATTCGACGTAATGAAAATTTGCTCTTGATATAATGTCACGCTCTAAGTGGGGAGGGAGGGTCTAAGATTTTGTGACAAGCAATGCATTAGGTATAGTAAAAACGTCACGATAGGGGGAGGGGGTAAATTTTTGCTCGATTTAGCGTGACATAATTAATGCATGGGCCCTTACATAGATTACACACCAACAACATTTCTCGATAGAGCTGGAATTAGGGCGTAACAGCCTTTGTAAACAATGCCTTCTCTCGTTGATTTCTAGGAATTCAATGCACGCCTACACAAACCAACATATCCATCTAGTAGGGGAAGTCATCCCCTACTCGATGGTGATGTCGATTTGCCAGGCAGAGCCATGACTTTCGCGAAATCATCGAGAGAAGTCATTGTTACAAAGGCTGTTACGCCCTAATTTCAGCTCTATCTAGATTTGTCAGTTCAGGACTCTACCATACATTCACTAGCGGCATCTCTCGCTCAGTTGCTAAAACGCATTTGACGTTTCATTTGAAAACATTCGATACTTTTTACACTCACGATACATCAAAATGAAAACAAAACAAACCGGCTTCGAACAAAAAGGAACCAAGTTCTGCCATCGAAAGGCGCGTAAACTTTTCAGTCGTAAAATATGACCAATTTTACTCCGGCAGAAATGGTTCGGACACTGCTGGACAAATATGGCACCGGATTCCGGCCGAAAGACGACACATTTTTCGTGGAAGGAAATTTCTACCTCAGAAAATTCGTCAAACTGGGAGTGTTGAGTGATATCACCAAGGGCGATGATCCTCAGCTGGAGGAAACGTGATTTCTGAACCAAAACAACGGTGATGATCTACTGATTTTAACAGAATTTTCAATTTCAGGAACATCGTTTGCAACGTTCCCGATTGTCAGTACACTTGTGGAACCGTTCAGGACTACGAATCTCACTACAATTCCATGCATCGGTACTCGTGTGGTGAGTGCAAGAAAACATTGCCTAATGCTCACCTCTTGGATCTACATCTATCCGAATCGCACGATTCCTACTTTGCCGCTCAGGTTCAATCGGGGAAGCGTCCAATGGTAAGGGCTTTCAATCAATCCTAGCTTCCAAATTTTACCGTTGAAAATGTTTCAGTTCTCTTGCTTTCTCGAAGAATGTCCCAACGAAAGTCAAACTCCGGACGAACGTCGTGACCATTGCATCAAGCAGCACAAATTTCCCCACAACTTTCGCTTCGATCAACGGATTTCTTCTCAGAAGAAGCATTCCACTAGAAGAACTTCACTTTCAGAATCGTCCGCAGGAGTGGAGATGGAACTTGAACCGGTTGAGTCACATTCGGGCCTTGGGGCGAAGGGTAAGAAAAATTTCAACTTTGGTCATTCCAAGGTGAGATCGTTCAAGTTGGGAAAGTTGGCAACCAAGAAGACTGACATCCTGGAAAGCAATCGAATGGTGGTCGATTTGCTGGAAAGTCTTCCAACCGATTGATGGCAACGGGACTGTTTTTTTTTTTTCATTTTGGTTAAATAATTTATTTTCAAATAAATAAGTTAAATAAGGTAATAAATAAATGCTCATTTCGAAAGTCGATCGATTTCCATTTTAGGCTTCGTTGTCAACATCTTCCGCGCTGTATTCTTCGTTGAGATAGTCTTCACCGGGAAACTGCGTGGTCACGTTGCCGATTTGTAGCCTCAGGTTGGTCATTTGTTCGTGTTCATCCGTAGTCATTTCCGACGTGCTGCTGGTCGTGGCCGCCGTGGTAGTCGTCGACGACGAAGTGGTCATCATCGATGGCGGTAGAGTCTCGCAGTTTTTCCCCTTGTAACCGGACGGGCATTCGCATTTGAAGTTACCGTCGTCCTTTATCAACGATGTACACTTTCCGCCATTTTGACACGTGTTTGGATTCTTCTCGCAGTAGTTCAGCTCCTCATCGCAAAGCATTCCTCCCCAGCCGGGTCTGCAGTTGCATTCCCAAGGCCTACGACAATCGCCATTCTTGCATCCCGGATAGGGATGGCACTTGCTGCATTCGGTACCCATCCATCCCACGCGGCAGCGGCACTCACCTGGGCGTCTACAGTAGCCGTGTTCACGGTTGCAGTTCTTGGTGCAGATGGCTGTAACGGAAACTCACTAGAATGATGCTTATTCTTGGAAGAAAATAAGCTGGGGACTTACGAGTCTGACACAGGATTCCGGTCCATCCGGGAAGGCATTTGCACTCCAGTGGCTTAGTACACGTTCCGTGCATGCATCCTGGGAGCACTTGACAGTCGCGACACGTGGCACCAGCCCAGCCAAGTCGGCAACGACATTCACCAGGAGACTCGCAGTATCCGCGCGATGGATGGCAGTCCTCGCGGCAGATTGCTGAAATTATCAGGTTGGTGATGATTACTCAATATTCAATAATAGTGATAAAGTATACGAACGTTCCGAGCAGAAGATGCCATCCCAGCCTTTGTGGCAGACGCACTCGAATGACACCTTGCAACCTCCGTGCTGGCAACCAGGCAGCGGGATACAGCGGTTGCAGTTGTCACCGTAGAAGCCCAGCTTGCAGCGACACTCGTGCGGCCGCTTGCAGTATCCATTCATCGGGTCACAACCTTTCTTGCAGATAGGGACATCGCACAGATCTCCGGTCCATCCCGGCAGGCACTTGACGTCGCCATTGTCATCGCACACGTAGTGTGAGTATTCGTTCTGCGCGTTGGGGATCTCGCAGGCCTGGGCGGGAGGGAGGGTGGTTTGAGTGGCTAGTAATTTAGTAGATTTGCAGTTTAACTGTTATTTTGTTGAAATCCAAGATCCTACAACTACAAAATTGCAGAAATATCTGAAACTAAAAAATATCCAGGAGATTCCGGTACACTCAACTTTCAAGAACTTAAGAAAATTCTATTTCTCAAGAGCTTTTAGATAACCTATTGACCGCCGAAAGCGTCCAGATCTTTTAGTAGTCATTAGAACATCTCCAAACATGTCGAACTGAATGATAGAAGCAGTAAGTTAACGGCTTTCTGGACCCTGGCAGATTTGTCTGGAAGAGGCTGCCCTTCAGACTACCGTGCTCACAGGAAATTTTCCAGCAAATGCTGTTCCAAGCGCTACAAGGACTGAAAAAAATCTGGATGCTCTATTAGAACGCTACAGGGATCAAGTTGAACCAATCCGAAGTGCATTATAAAGAAACGCAGTGTAATTGCAACGATTTCTTGGTTAAGCGAACTATATGAGCGTATTTCGGAGTGTGGAATTCCAAGATGCTCTAGCAGAGGATACGTAGTCTTGGAAAAAGCAGTGCAGAGAAGAACTCGGACCCTAGGGCTGGATCTCATTGCAGGGGGTTGGTTATAATAGCGATAGCGATAATGACTCTCATGGAGGTGCTCTAATCGGCATCTTCAGCTGAATCAGATCCAGTCATCGAAACTGCTGAAAATATCAGTAGCGCTCTTTCTAGGGCTGTGAACCGTTTGCCGAGTTAAATTTAACTTGTGGTTAAAAGTGACATTTCGAAAGTTATTTTCTATGTTCGAAAATCCCCGTGCTGTCGATCGGCCGGTTTTCGAGCCACGGTTGTCAAAATTTAACTTCTTGTCTGTCAGAAATAACCATGCTCGGATAGCAGGGTTAATCGATAACTTTTCATCTGTCAAATTTTAACCAAAAGTTAAAATAATCCACCAAATGGTTCAGAGCCTAGATAAGGCTGTCCACGAGACTGTTGCGATCAGCTGACTTTTGGCTGTGAACCATTTGCCGAATTAAATTTAACTCGTGGTTAAAAGTGACATTTTGAAAGTTATTTTCTATGTTCGAAAATCCCCGTGCTGTCGATCGACCGGTTTTCGAGCCATGGTTGTCAAAATTTAACTTCTTGTCTGTCAGAAATAACCATGCTCGGATCGAGGCTCGGATAGCAGGGTTAATCGATAACTTTTCATCTGTCAAATTTTAACCAAAAGTTAAAATAATCCACCAAATGGTTCAGAGTCTAAGAACTTTGGACATATCACAGTAGAACTTGCAATTTATTCTCATATGAATTTCTGCTTTGTTTATGTTGACATTCAGCACCATTAACACCAGATCACTCACACACTCTAGATTTCTAGCTGTCAGTTCCACTGAGAAACGTCTCTTGGGCTGTGTTCCATTTGGAAAATTTTCATTTAGATTTGACACTTCGAAAATAAATTAAGATATTCGAAAATCCCTCTGTTGTTGAGTTATGGACATACCGAAGCTCTACCCACGTCCACCAACCAACCGACCGTGGCCTAGACGCTGACTCAACAACATCCCCGTATTCGACTTCATGCACGAGGCACCTGGCGACAGGAATCAGCATATCACACCACATGGATGGAAACAGGCCAACGCTTAAGGCCGGCGCACAATAGATACGTTTTCGGGTTTTTTGACAGTTAGCCTATGCATTATCTGCAGTTTTTTTTGACGCATTATTTTAGATTGCAAAAAGCTCGCGTCATTTTGTGTAAAATATCAAAAGGAATCGAATAGTGCGAGCTTTTTGCAATCTGAAATAATACTTCGGAAAAAACTGCTTTTGAAATTTTCCAAAAAGCATCAAAGTAAATTGAACCTTAAGGGAATAAAGAAAATTATTTTTTTATGATGCCAAGAATCATCCTGGCATGAGTGTTGATCGGCCGATTTTCGAGAAAGCGTCTTTCAAAATTGATTCCTTGTCTGTCAGAAATAAGTTTGCAAGTATAGCAGGTTTAAAGGGTGATACGGTCAAAATTTGGTCAATATCAACTTGACGTATTTCCACAGACAAACAGACATAACACTCGCAAATTGTTCATCGAACAAGCATTTAACGGTCAATTTAAAAGTATCGTAGTTGGTAGTACCACCACCTGTGGCGCGCATAGTCAATTCCCTTGCGTTTGACGTTTACACACTACCGCCATCTGTTCAGTGTACTACCCACCACTGTGTATTCAACAGATGGCGGTTATGTTTTAGCGACGATGTTTTACAGTGAGAAATATTCAATGTGTTATGTCTGTTTGTCTGTGGTATTTCTTTCAATTTTGCATTTAAAAAACCTGAACACCCCTCATTTTGAAGGTGTGTGTGTGTAGAATGTTGCTCCTATTTTGATTTTGGAATTCACTCTTCAGTTGTCAAAATGCCGTCCAAGCAAGAAGAGCAGCGTATCAAAATTTTGCTCGCGCATCGCGAAAATCCGAGCTACTCGCACGCAAAGTTGGCAAAATCGCTAAAAGTTGCCAAATCAACCGTTACAAATGTAATTAAAGTGTTTGGGGAACGTTTGTCGACAGCCAGGAAGTCTGGATCGGGGGGAAATCGAAAACCGGAAGCCGCTGAGACGACAAAGAGAGTTGCCGGTAGTTTCAAGCGAAACCCTAACCTCTCTCTCCGAGATGCCGCAAATAAGCTGGGTGTATCGTCTACAACCGTGCATCGAGCCAAAAAACGAGCCGGACTATCGACTTACAAGAAGGTAGTGACTCCAAATCGCGATGATAAACAAAATACGACGGCCAAAGCGCGATCCCGGAGGCTGTACACGACGATGCTGACGAAGTTTGACTGCGTGGTAATGGACGACGAAACCTACGTCAAAGCCGACTACAAGCAGCTTCCGGGACAGGAGTTTTATACGGCAAAAGGAAGGGGAAAGGTAGCAGATGTTTTCAAGCACATGAAACTGTCAAAGTTCGCAAAGAAATATCTGGTTTGGCAAGCCATCTGTACCTGTGGCTTGAAAAGCAGCATTTTCATAGCTTCCGGGACAGTCAACCAAGAAATTTACGTGAAAGAGTGTTTGAATAAACGTCTGATGCTTTTCCTGAAGAAACACGGTTGTTCCGTACTGTTTTGGCCGGATTTGGCATCTTGCCATTACGGTAAAAAGGCCATGGAGTGGTACGCCGCCAACAACGTGCAGGTGGTTCCCAAGGACAAGAACCCTCCCAACACGCCAGAGCTCCGCCCAATTGAGAAATACTGGGCTATTGTCAAGCGGAACCTAAAGAAGACCAAAAAAACTGCTAAGGGCGAGCAGCAGTTCAAGGCAAACTGGCTTTCTGCGGCGAAGAAGGTGGACAAGGTGGCTGTACAAAATCTGATGGCAGGGGTCAAGCGTAAGGCCCGGCAATTCGGATTTGGAAAAGCGGAAGCCTAACTGAATATTTTTCCTGAATTTTATACTAATTGAACTTGAAAAAGAAATTTAATTTGATTTTTTAAATAAACGATTTCACCGATTTACACGCGTTTTCCCTTGACCAAATTTTGACCGTATCACCCTTTATTTAAAATTTTTCCATCTATCAAATTTAAGTAAAAATCCACAAAATGGAACACAGCCTTGGATCAACTTATTGCTATATTAACCAAGGGGGGCGACACATCTAAATTTCAATTCTAGATGCTCCAAAAATCTCACACTAGTGAATCAATCTTCGAAAAATCTTCGAAAAATCTTCTTTCATTTCTCGCATCTACTTGCATAGGAAATCTTCAAAATCGTCATCAATTCAGTGCCAACATTTCAAAGGGGCGTAATTGCTTTTGTAAACAATGGCTTTAGACGTCGATTTCTCGCAAATGAAAACCCACACATCCAAATTACAAATGCTAGCTGATACAGGAAACATTCCTCTGCGTGCTGGTGTCATTCATTTTCATGAGTGAGCTTTCATTCGCGAGAAATCGACGACTAAAGCCATTGTTTACAAATGCAATTACACCCCTTTGAAATGTTGGCACTGAATTTTCTTTCTATCTATTCAGCGTGCGCGCAGCTAACCACAGCAAAACACAATTTTTACTGCATCGTAGATAGAGTTGCTCTCCTGGATATTAACTTAGGACCCCATTCTCCCACTGGTGATTCTTGTTGGTTTCTATTTTAAAGCCTAGTATAAAGATCAAAGCGAAACGAAATTTGAAGCACGCGAAAAATCATGAAATTTTGCTAGCGAAAAAGGTTGTGAAAAAATGTTTGTGGAACATTTTCCAGTTTCCTTTTTTCGCAGTTTACAGTTCATGTGAAACGAAATCGATCAGTTAACACCTCTGGTGAAGTGAAAATCTGACAGATACGCTCTCCCGAAACGTCAACTTTTCGCTTAGCTGCTGCTCTTTTCACGGGCGCTGCATGCACAAAAAATAAATAAACGTACGCGAAAAAGATGCGACCCACAACATTAGATTTCGCTGGATCGTATCTGTTTACAGTTCAAAGCGAAGTGAAAAATTTGCCAATTGCGTTTTTCACGCTGGTGAAAAATTTAGTATTATGTATGAGATTTTCGCTTCGCTTCGAACTGTCGGATGCTCTGTGAAGTTCACTCAGAATGTCATTAAAGCTCTCGACAGATACCTGAAGCTTCTTCAGAACTTCGCTCAATTTCACTCGGAATTGCTCTGAAGTTCACTCTTAATTTTCCTGAAGCACCCTCGGAACATCCATGCAGTTTCCTCGGAACTTGACAGAAGTGTCCTCGAAAGGTTCTTAAAGTGTTATCGTAGCTTTTCTTCGAGCTTTTCTCAAGTATCCTCCGAATCCTGATGAGAACATTTGAAGCTTTCTAGAAGTTCCCATCGTTGCTTTAAGCCTAAAGTTTTTCTGGATGATCTGATAATCTCTCACTCCTATTGTGTATTCTATTCAAAACGGATTTGCCATACAAATAAAAAAATAGATGAGAAATCTGTTTCGA